GGCTAGCTTTGTAGCAAATGGGAACACTGAGGAAGGCAATACATAAATAGAGAGACTAATTCATGAAGGAGTTGCACCAGATTTCTCTCTTGACAGCTCAGACATGATAAGGAGAGGGGGAGGGAACTTTTGGTTTTAAAGGTTGCATTTGCTTCATCAATTGTCAAAATCTTGTTAGAAGTCTAATTCAGTTATGATGTTTTTGTTGCTGTCCAGAGACTGAATGTATGTATTAGAGCGGCCTTATATACAATTTTTGCCACAAGCAATTTACTATGATTATATTATTTCGATCTGGCTGGTTCCCAAGGAGCCTCTGAAACCAAATCGTATCAGAGGAAGATGAATATTAACAATTTTATCTCTCTCGGGAGAGCTAACAAAAGAATGGAGATCTCACATTTAGGTTCAACACAAAGAACTTTGAAATGGCCATGGAATTATTGACATCAGTTCTCAAGATTCCTAGTTCAGTTATTTACTGCTTGGCTTTTCTGCACCTGTGCCAAAAGCCAGCAAGTTTACAGTGGAAATAATGAATTTGTAAGCTAAATAATGAGTAACGTGTCAGAAGGAGAACTGTCATAAGGGTTTAGTAGGAAAACAAAGTGCCAAGAGGACTGCATTTGATTTCTTCCTTTGTTACATTCTGCTTTACACGAATATGCCATCTGCCTTAGAGTATTATATACCAATTAAAAAAGAAATAACAGATAAATTTGGAGCAGTGCTTTAGGCAGATGGCAAATTGCCCAATCATTTTTTAAAAAATATTAAACCAAATAACTCTATGACTTAAGACTTATCTCTGAGCATCCAGTATGATACATTCAAGCTGTGTTGATAGCTGTGACTGGCAGTGAATCCACCAATGTGGCATTACATTCCCAATTGGAAAACTATAATAAGGCATTTGGCTTTAAAAACTTCTCAGGTAAAAGGAGGAAAAATAAATTAAATTGTAGAAATTGAGACATTTCCAAACCTTTCTTTCTGGACCAATTCTCTTTAATAGTGGTATCAACTAAAGAGAAAATTTAGGCTCCTCCCAATGTATTTACAAGATGCACAGAAAATAGTTACCTATATATGAATTATCTTATCCCTGGAAAAGGTGTGGTAAGAACTTATTGAGTTGCTCATGTAGGCAAGATGCTGATAAGAAATTCTGAAAAAAAACCCTCTCCATTCTAGAGCTTAATAATTTAAAATGGGGAAAAATACTACAGTTCCAGCCCCTGCATATTGCTGCCTGAGATAGATATCAATCTCCATTCAAGATTTTAATAGACTGGGATGAGACTTTATTGTTACTATGGCCTAATATCTCAGTTCTCTATTTACAAGAACAGCTACTTAGGACACTTCGGTTAAAGGAATTTCTGTTGGAAAAGGCCAGTTTGCCTGAAATACTTTGAGGAGGGAGAGGGCCAAATGACAGAAATTATTAATTTGTGCCTTTTCCACAAAACAAATCTCTTTTAAAATGAAAGATGTGACAAGAGTGGCTTTGCAATGCCTGCTATCAGTCTCTCTCCTGAGCATGAGAAATATCACATCAGTTTAAACAAGCAACAGTGACTATTCATTATTTCCTGCTGTCTACTTGGCATGGAGCTGATAGTAGAGCTAGAAAATTCCCCTTTGCTTTGCTTAGGTTTTTCCCAGTCCCAGAGTTAGATCCTCATCCCAGATGGATCCTCATCTAACTCTGCCAGTTCAGTCAAAGATTCTCAAAATAACTGACAATTATGTCTCCAATAACTGGTTGCCTAATGTGCTGACCAAATTCTGAAACCAAGGTTAGTGACCACAGAGCGATCATATGGATAAACTATGCAATGAACTATGCCTGTTTTGGATAAACAAGTTTCTGCTCAATCAATGCCTCCAGGTTCAGCACAGCATGTGCATGTGACAAAAATTATGCACAATGTTATTTTCAGCTTGTGTTCTCCTTCTCTACCAGCATTATCAATAAGCTTGAAATAAAATGTGGGTTCAACCATTTAATGTGGTAAAATGAGGTGACATAGCAGACATGAGAAACTGACATATTTTCACTTGGAAATAGCACTTTCAGCCTCTCCATTGCCATAGAAGCTACATCATAAAACTGCAACAAAAGCCTTTCCAAAGCCATAGCAGATATTTCACTCACTACTACTGCCTTGCCACCTGTTTTAGAAAGATCAAAGAAAGGACCCTTCACATGTAGGAGCCTTGACATAAGTAGGTCAGTCAAAGAAGGAAAACCTCTGCCAAAACCAGGAAGGCACTAAATAAAAACAACCATGTGAGATGCCTGTTACTCTCAAAGGGATAGTCCCTGTTTGGAGAGAAAGAAACTTTCAGGAGCAAACACCTAACATTCCTACTCCTTCACAGAAATATTGTGAGTTCTGGAACTCCCATCCAGCAACACCTCAGTAGCATTGGTGGTCGCTTCATGTCAAAAGAGTCACAGCTAATTTTCTTGCACTTAAGAGCTATTGAAGGAGCAGACAATACTGGGAGTATATTGCCTATAGATCCTCACCCTCCTTCATTGTGTTCTGGTTCATGTGACCTTATAGTGGCCCCTTGTATCTTTTTGCTCTTGGGTGGGGGGAAAGTCTCTGTGAGGAGAGAGGGTCTGAGCAGCACAATGCACGGGATTGCATTTGTCTCTGTGTTTCTACCCAGAGGGGCTTCAAAGTAACTTACGCTAGGAAGGTGAGATATATATAATGTCCCTGTGGCTATGTGAGGGTTTCTGTACACTAGATCAGTGTTTAAACACATCACCATTTCCTGTCTATGAGTGACACAGGAAAATTGCTTTAATTTTTCTATTTTTTCTCAGATGTAGAGAAACATTTTTAAAGAAGGAACAGGAAAGTAGACAACCCAGCATAAAAAGAAGAGGACCTTTTCTGTGTTGATTGCTCCTAGAGTATTTTTTCTCATAACTGCTACATATAATTGTCTTCTAGGGAGTTTCTCTCTTTTAAATGGCAAAGGAGGTTTGGTATGCTTTTTCACTCACTTGCAGCCAGTCTCTGTTGTAGTTTGGCAGTATTCTAAGATCTTTTGTAAAAGATCTGATTCTGAGCCGAAGTTAAATTTTGTGCTCCGAACCAGTGCCCACGAAAATATGTTCTCTTCACTTTCTGCTCCGTCAGGTTCACTTACAATCTTCTGGGAAGAATCAAGAAAATCAGTAAAGTCTTTTGGGGCAGAGAACTATTTAAGCAGTGTTGAGAACTGTCAGCTGCTAGAGGCTTACTGAGGAATGTGCCCAGGTGGCATGTGTCATAAAATTTTTGATGCCAGAAGAATTTGCACACCTCCTCTCACCTGGTAGGAAATAGCTAATATGCAGGAGGGTGACTGCGAGAAGTGACATGCTTCATATCAGAGAGGCTGCTTGGAGCCCCTGCTTGTCCCAACAAGTCCATACTGAATCTCCAAAATTATGCCTGGATGAGCAGAGGATCAACAAGTGCTCTTGACTTGTACTGATGTCTTAAAAGTACGTGTGGTATTTTCCTGGCAAGGAGAATGTGGAAAGGCTGCAGGCAGCATGATGCTAGTTAGGAAGAGTATATGCTCTGAAATTCAGATCTGTCTCAGAAACAGATTGTCTAGTTTTGATACTCCAGACCAAGCATACACTGGGAACAGGTAGTAAAAAGAGAGAAACAGGAATTAGGCACAGACCTACAGCAATTTTATTTTTGTGGTCTAATCTTAAGGGGCTCTCAGTTCCTGTGCTCCTACTGGAGCCATCCACTTCTTTAAAACCCTCTTCTTATTCCCCAGCCTTCAATTCCTGTGAGTTGTGGTGATGAGGAGAATGGCTTTGCCTTGCCCTGCAAGAAAGAATAGAACTACTTCAGCACCCTCTAGCCTCTGCCATCTCCAAAACGTACTTTTTCATCATTGGACTTCAGCTACAGCTGTCAACTAAAGAAAATTAAAAGCATTAGATATGAGAAATACCTCCACCAGGCTGGCTCAAACAATGACAGAACAATCTTTAAATGTTCAGGCATAGCCCACCGTATCTCTGCCCACTGCAGCACCAGCCAGGGCCAGGAATTCCTGATAACTTTTTACTGAATGCATTAAGATATTTTTTCTGCATAAATAAGAGTAGGTCTGTGACGTCAAGAGCTTGTCTTGACTTTGCAGTAACTTATTATCCTATTATCGCTGTTTGCAAACATCTGTGCTCAGCACTTCCTTCCTTGTAGCACTGAAATACTAAGTGTTCAGAAAGCCTAACCATCAGCCATAAAAATCAGTAAACTGCTGTATGCACTAATGTGGAATCAAAACCATTATTTGGGTGATTTATTTTAAGCACATATGTGACAAAGGAGCCTATAAAAATTACAGGCTGCTTATTTTCCTTTTTCCTCTGCTGCTGCAACACTTGCAGCGATTAGTTGGCATTTTAAAACGTGTTTGGGTGTAGGGGAGGGTTTTGGTTGTGGTTTTTTGTTCTTTGGGTTTTTTTTTGACTCACAGACAAACATAGGTAACCCATCAAAACTGAAAGCGGAAAAGCGATGTATTTTTTACAGCTGGAATCTTGGCTTGGATTAAACGTCTTCCTTTTCCTGTTTTGTCCAGGGCTCCCAAATCTGTATTTTCTCAGTATCTGGCGCTCTCAGTGCTACACATTCTTCCTAGCTGGAGATCGGGAGCAGCAGCGAGGAAGGCCGGGAACAGAGAACCGAGCACTCTTTTGTGCGCCCGTGTCCAGCGGTAACCCTTTATGGCCACCCCAGACCTGCGCTCTTCCAACCGGCGGGCGCACGCTGCTGACTCTCGGGAGAGCAAAGCGGCGGCGCCTTCCTCCCGGCCGGGCAGCACCCACCCGACGCCGAGCGCGGCCAGGGCCGACGGGACACGGGCGCGGCTCAGCCGTGAGCACGGGGCGGGCGTGGGGCGGGCGTGGGGCGGGCGGCGGAGCCTTCCCGTGTGCCGCGGCACTTCCGTCCGAGCCGTATCCGCTTCCGCCCCGCGCTACCTTTCTTCTCTGAGCTGCGGACAGCTCGCTTGGGCCCCGACCAAGTAAGCGCATCCCCGCGGACGGCCACGGGCCTCTGGATGTTTCCTGGCCGCCGTGCCCGCGTCCCCCCTGGAGCAGAGGAGGGGGCGAGGAGGGCCCTGGCACTGCGCCGGGCGAGGGCTGCTCGGCGCCCCGTCCCCCGCCAGGCTCTGCCCCGGCCGCTCGCCCGCCTCGCGGCCGTGCCTGCGCTCGCTGGCGAGCCGTGGGGCTGGAGCAGGGTCGTGGCCGGCGGGCGGAGCGCCTGCCCCGGGCGGCCGCGGGCGCGTGGTCCGGCCGGCGCTGCCGGGGCTGCTCGCCCGCTGCCACCCCGGCGGCGGCTCCTCCCGAGCGAGGGGCCGGCCTTGGCCGCGGGTGACGCGCGCAGTGCCGTGGGCTGTGTTTACTGAACGGTGTCTGAGCGGGGTTCAGAGCTCTGCTGCCACGAGATGCTTTCTGCCACCTCATTCCCCCCCCCTTAAATTCTATCAGCAAACTAATGCAACCAAGCTTCCATCTCTCGCATGAGAGAGCCTGGGGACCTTAGTAAAGAGTTCAAATAGATGATATAAACTGCTCTAAATTTAAAAAAAAAAAAAGTCTCTGCTTATCATCGAGTGCATAGTTTTGGAATAGGGTTAATACTCCCCACTGAAAGAAATTAAGCAGCTGTAAGTGTAAAAAAATCTATCAAAGGAAATTCACTGTGGGTATGGATCACTGGCTAGCATAATGATAGACCAAGAGATTGAAAAGCAGGAGATTTCATAAGTGGAGTAATTCAAGCCTTCAAGAGCTGCTTCTATTTTGCCCCCCACAGCACTCAGGAGAAGTAAAAAAAGGAATGAAGCAGACTATTAAAATTAAGTTAAAGAAAATTATAGGGCAGTATCCTGAGTAATGGTCTGAAAAATAACCACTGATGTTAGCAGCTTTATGAATAGTAATATTATGTAACAATAACTACAACCTCCTTTGCCATTAAAAGTAATATGAATAGTAGCAATAACTCATGCACCAGTTTACATCTGTGGCATGTTTTGTTTGGACTGCCCATGCCCCACATGGACGTGACACCCTAAGGATCCTGAATCGGTGGCAATGGGAAAGACATTATAAGATAAGAAAAAAGTAGCCTCTAGTGGAAGGAGCAGTAAAAGAAGCAAGAAACAAAAATTGGGTAAATGAGACTAAATATATATATGGTGACGCTGAGGCCAAGTGACAGGTTTGAAGCCAGGGAAAAAGAAACATGCGTTAGAACATATCCTAGAAATGGAAGGTATGAGTTCAATATCATGCGAGTGGGATGAGGGCAGTGGAACATGTGAATGACAGCTCCACATTTTTCAGTTTCCCACTTCCAGGGATGAAAACTTGTGGATTTAGTTGTGGATTGGCTGAGAAGGACAATCACTGCACAATCGGTTTGAGAAGGTGGATATATAGGCTGACTTTCCCTCCAGCTCACAGCAAGCCCCCCAAAAATTCCCTCTCTAAAAATCAAAGGAGGAAGCTGTAGTTTGACCTGGTCAATTACTTTGGCCCTGATACCAGGCGTTCGAGCAGAGCTGTGCATTCATTGCTGGATTTTTTTTCATTTATATTCTGTGCCACATATGAATGTTTTTAGCAGCTGTGGCAGATTGTAATTGTTCTGTTGTAAAATTACAGACCTCTATAGTATTAATAGTAGCAGCTGAATTAATAATGAGTATAAATTGAAGAACTACGCCTTTGAATGACACTGATTGTTACGTGCCTTCCCCTGACTCAAGTCCTGAGCTGGCAAAAGTGAATTTGTAGTGTCTTAAGTGCTGAAAGGCTGAATGCGGTTCAGTAGGAGACTGTGGTTACTGCCTTGGTCCCTGCACCCCAGCATGTGCCTCTGGAGGATGAATGATCATGATCAACACAACCACACAACTGCTTGATCTAATCCAGACTCTGAGGAAGGGGTTAAGAAAAGAGGATCGGGGAGCCCGAGAGTTTCAGAACACCATTCCTTTTTAACCTTTCAGCGGTCTATCTGCATGTGTATGACTGAGATGCATTATACGGGTAATCCTTCATACATGGCTCATTCATTCATACCTCTTAAGTTGATGCAGTGCTTGGGAGGTAATACCAGAAAGTCAACTGATACGTCTCATGTTATAAGTGGCATTCCAAAAGCTTCCAGCTTTCGAACAAAATGAAGAGTGTGGGAAACCTGTAACACAGGGCTTCTAATTTCATGTTGGCTTTATATGGTTACAAGGCTTAGGTTTACAATTTTGTGACTGCTTAATATGTGGCAATCGTTATTAGCCTCTCCAGAATACAACTGATGACGGAACTACATGTATTTGGAAATGCACATTTCAAAAGCCATAAGATGGGTCTTGTTAATTTAATTTTGATCTTATTGCTTTCTTTGCTTCCTCATACAGCGTCTGTCAGCTGCCAAGTAAAGGAGGTAAAGAAGCCTGTCCACACAAAAGACTTATTAGCCAGTAAAGGTAAGAATACATTAGTACATCGTGGGTATTTGTTTGGAGTTTTTGAAGTTTTAAATGCAAATCTCTACTTCTACATTCCAAATCTGGTACTTCCTACTTACCTAATTTCTTTCTGTACTGTAGAAGACCCTGTGCAGCTGCAGGTCTGTCTAATCCCTTATTAGCAAGAATACTACAGTTAACAAGTAGAAGATGTCTCTTTAATATAGAATTTCAGATTTATGTCCTTCATTGTCATCTGGCTTTGGCATTACTTCTTACTATGAATGTTAGCACTATGACTGTGCAGTTGCTGAATGCCAGTTTTTATAGGTCAGAGCAGCTGTATTGGACCTTTCTTGAATATGCATGCTATTCTTGCAACATGCCTCTGTGAATGTGAAATATGCAAAATTCTGGAATATGTGCACTTAAATAGGCAGTAAATCTAGAACCCGTGGATGGCTGAATTCTAAATTACTTGTAACCTCACATTTGTGTTCAGTGTATGCTTTTCTTTCATTGTAGGGATGCTGTCTGGAGCAGAGATGAGGTCAGGAAAGCCAAGACAAAGTATGTTGAACAGAAAAGGAAAGAAAATGCACACATCACACTCCCCATGCTCTCCTGATAAGGAAGACAAGAAAACTAGAGGCAACTGTCATGGAGAAGGCTGAGATACTCTGCAATTTTTTCATCTCAGTTTTCCATGGTAATCTCTCTTCCTACTTCTCTCAAGTCCCTGCCCCTCAAGACAGGGACTGGGGGAATACTGGAGGAATGGTAATAGCCATTGAAAATGAAGATCAAATCTGGGACCATGCAGGAACCTGAACATACAGCGTCCCGGGAGGCAGCAGCAGCAGTGTTGTAGGGAAGGGATGAGCCAACTGCTGCCGCCGGCCCTAGTGCAGGAACAGAGCGGAGCACGAGCACGAGCCGCAGCAGCGTCCCTGGCCACACTGCCCCCGTGCCGTGGGGTGGCCGTCAGCCCATGACAGCAAAGCTGAGGAGGAACTTCAGGCTTTCGGGGGGGTGCCGCCCTTTCTTGTTGCAGCAGAGCCCCTTTTTGGGGGTGTGTACAAGTGGAAATGCTTTAATGAAGCAACATGCTGCTGTCCAGGGACTTGTTTTGTGCCTTCTTTGGGGTGAGGAAAAAAGGCTGGGGGATGGGGTGGAGGCTCAGGGGCTCAGATCTCTTTTGGGGCACCCCAACATCTCTGGGTGGAGGAGCAGGTGAGTGGGGAATTAAGGGAGGGGTCATGCTGGGTGCCCTCCCCCAGAAGGACCCAAAGCTGCCAGAAGATTCACAGGGAGGGGTGGGTGTAGAATACCAAAACCTGTCAAGTTTTTTACATATATTGACAATTTTTTTTATAAACTCATTTTAAAATAAACCCTCTCTATTTACTACATTGTGTACAGGAATATAAGAAACTTGGATAGGACGTGTAGTTTTTGAAAATAATGCCATAATGTTTTTATATAGGAATGAAACAATCAAGTGCCTGAAACCATAAGAAAAGCTGCTGGCGCTGAAGAGAGTAGGGCTCTCCGGCAACTTTTGCGTCCATTCTCTGCCTGTCCCTAAAGCGCACCGCAGCCCCGGGCTGAGCTCGGCAGCAGGGCTGCCGCCTTGTGGACAGAGAGCGCTACTGCAGCCCCCCGAGCCAGCGCCCTGCCCCTCGCGGCTGGGGGGCAGGGAACAGGGGTGATGACTGCTCTCGGCAAAGGCTCTTTATTATTCCTCTGTCAGATTTCCCTCAGCGCTGTCCAGGAAAGGCGAGGATCAGGAATTCTGTAAGCAGGGCCTGTGTGACCATTGGCTTACTGTGTGTGTGTCAGTGAGCCAAAATCAAGAGCCAAAATCAAAGGTTGGTTTGGTTTTAAGAACTTAAAGTAACTTTAAAACAAAATAAATAACTCTTTCTTCTTTTTATATTTTAGATGCTGGAAATGCCTCTCTGCATGTGTGCTGAGTTCTTGCTGCTGTGGACTGTGCAGCCCTAATTGCTGCAGGTTCCTGTTCTCACTGGGGAATTGGAAATAATGATTGTTTGGGCCACAGAGATGTTTTCTGAAACCTTTCCCATTTTTCTGCCTTTTAATGGTAGATCTTCTCTTTCTGCCTTTGAATTTTACAGCGATTTTATGATGTCATTCACCCAAATTCCTTGCAGCTCCTGGGGCAGAGAGAAGCTTCTCCTGTGGCCGATATTCAGTGGAATAATGATACTGTGTGTCCCACATCTTTAATATATTTAACTGCTGTTTATATCTTCGAGTGTAGACTTAGTTGATTCTTTTTCAACAGAAAGTGGCAGGCTGAGCTCAGCCAAGTTACTGAACCATAATTTAGATAGTTGAGTTTTTTTTAAAGAAGAAAAAAGCCAGCTTTTTTTCTGTGGGCTTTACTGGTATTGTTCCTTATTTGAGCTACACCTTAAAGTAATGATGTGGGTGCCTTCTAGAAACAGTGTTCAATTATTTTGCACTCTCTCATGAGACCTTCAGGCCCACATTTTTCCATTGCTGAATTAAATACAGGTCCAAGCTGACAGTGTCCTCTGCATCTTTTGTTCATTGATCTGTTTCTGATGTTCATTTCATCTGGATGCAGAGTTGGGCTTTTTGAGCAGATAATGCCCCCAAACCATGAGGCTTGTTTAAACCTTGTACTCTATTTTATGAAGGCATGGGGTCGGTGAGGACTTTGTCTTGTTGCTGTACTAGGGAATGGCATTCAGGAGGTTCCTACAATATTCACATTGAAGTTGAAATGTTCAAGGGTATCGGTGTGATGGTTCTTGGGGATGAATCTTGCTCCCAGCAGTCTGTAGCGTAGTAGCGCAGGACATGAAAAAGCAGGGTGTGACGCACAGGGCAGGTAGGAACAGCGAGGTGCTTCATGCTGGCAGCTGTGTTTGGTGTTGCTGATGTTTTCAGAGCCAGAGCAGATTCATTTGGTTTTGGTGGACTGAAACAGAATCCAAACCTTAGAAAGTATTTATTTGTCCTTAGGCTGAAAAATATTGTTGTGCAGGACTTGTTCCCTTGCACCTCCGGTTCATTGCAGAAAAGATTTTTTTTGTGAGCAAATGTTGTCATGGCTGGTGCAGTGAAAAGCTGAAGAGTTCCTGGTAATAAGATCATCTTGGTGGGAGCGTGAGTGCCAGCCAAAACCTCTCTGTGTTCCAGTGCCATGCCGCTGCGGGAGGAGAGCGTGAGGTGCAAAGCCCAGAGTGGAGCAGTGGGAAATGGGAGGTGAGGAAGGGTTGAGCTAAGGATGGATTTAAACTGGGCTGGGTGTTAGTGCAGGAAGAGATCTTTGTCATCCAGACTGCCAAAATGAAGACCTGTAAAATCCTAGCTCTGCCTTGTGTATAATGTGATTCTACTTCATATTTATGTCATCACAAAAAGCAAGGAAACAATAAATGTCACTGTTTCTGACTATTGCTGTGTGAAGGTTTTTTAAAAGCTGATGAATTTATGTTCTCTTTTTGTACTCCAAGCTTGGCGTTTCCCCTCTTTTTTCAATGTCTGCTGCATTGAGTGTCCCAAGGAGGGCTGGATTCTTCAGCAGGGGTCTTAGGAGTTGGTGCTATTTCAGCTTTTTCTGAAGGTATATGAAAGTGTGCTACCAAAATGGCTATTTTCTCCTCTGAAAAGCTTTCCCTCTGTGACCAACAATGCAGGTATCTGTTTTAATCATGTAGCCAGATGTACCAAGAATATTACTTTCAGAGCCAACAGCTGTACTAGATTTCTGGTTTGTGTCTGTGAGAAGTGGGATTTGTGCAGAAGAGGTACTGTTGGGAACAAAAGATGGAGTAAACCCACTCCTGGGATGTGCAGTGAAGGACTGAGTTGTAGGGAAGGTGTGTATTTATAAACTGTATCTATATATCCCTGAAATTGGGGGTGCGGCAGTGATGAGGGTGGCTAGAGTTGGCCTGGGCCTGTCAGGATGAGCCATAAACAACCCAACCAAGCCCCTGAATCCTCAATAGATGTTTGAAACATTTCCACAAAAAGCCAAGGTAGTAATGTTTCCAGAGGAAAATTTGTAGGTGATGGGAGGCTAACATTTTACAAACCTAATGTAGATGTGTGTACGGACTTTTCTACCATAGTTGACCAAGTGTGCATTTGACTTTTGACTCACCTTGCAATGACAAAATCCTGTGCATATGTTGCTGTTGTGTTCATCTTGCATATGCTGAAAGGACAGGAGTGGAGAGAGGAACTTCTTCCAAGTAGGCCCAGGTTGCATTAAGCAACATATATATATATATATAAAATGTAAGTCTGTTTAGACTGCTGGATCATTCTAGGTATTTTAGTATCCAAATTGTTTACTTAATGTTAACTTATGTTGGATGCTGCTGTCATGGATTGAGTATATCCTCCCCTGACGACTGCTGGAATTAGCCACGCGAAGCACTACATAAAAGTTGAGTTTCTGGCTTAATAAAGTTTTCTCCCTCTTATTTTGAGGAAGTAGAGTAAGAGGACACAGCATATTGTATGTTCTGCTGAGTTTTTATTTGAAAATGCTGCATTTTTAGGACATGAGATGCATTTAAGAATTAAGTTATGTGATTACTCAAGGTTTGGGTGGGTATTGCAGTCTGCTATTTAATATTATAAAATCACCTTTATTTACTCATCCTAAAGTGCTTTAATTTTCACACATTTTTGTCAAGGCTTCTGATTACACTGTGTTGTTCCAACAGCTTGTGAAGATGACTCTGAAGACCAATGTTGGTAGAACTTTCATATTGCAAGAAACAAACAGAATTACTGCAGAAATGCTGAACTGGCAAGAACAACATCAACACGCATTTGTTTTATACCTCTCCTTAGTAAAGTGTGCATTGAATATTACTGTAGTTTTTGAAGCATTGTTGAATTCAAAATCAACTGCTGCACAGTGGAGCTCAGTAGACTTGAGAACTACTCAGCATGTGTGTGGATTAGATACATAGAAAGCAACTTCCCTTTTTAAATTATGAGGATGTTGTGCTTTGTTTTGGAAGACATCGGATTCTGAATATTTAAGGAAGCTCTATCTCCCTTTGTGTTTTCTTCTTACTGTAGTCAGACTTCTGGCTTTGTCTTACCAAGTTTTCCTCCTGTACTGGCACTAAGTGGTTATAGGGGGTTTCAGGGGGAGGGTGGGGATGCCCGTGTACTTAAATAGGTTTTGTTAAGGTGTTCTTAAATGCCTCTTTTGCTGCATCATATAACTGATTGCTTCCATTGTTAATGAATGAACAGGAGGATAAGCAAGATACCGTAGAGATTGTTTGGATTTAGGCTTAGTTGAAGACTATTATTTAACTCAAAAAGCAATAAGAACTTGCAGTGGTCTTTTAATACTTGGTGATGGCTTTTTTATGTACCACTTTGGAAATCTGAGATTATATTTGATATCATGTGGCTGTTCCATTATGGAATATTGCAGATGTAAACTCTTGCATTTCAGCATTCCTGGCAGATATGCACCTTGAAAAAGACCTTGAAAAAGACTTGAAAAAGACCTTGAAAAAGACTTGAAAAAGAAAAATTAAAAATTAAATAAGAAATAAAATTAAAAAAATAAAATAAAAAGATTTAAAAATGGAAAAATTAAAAATAAAAAAATAAAAGCTTTAAAAATAGAAAAATTAAAAATAAAAATTAAATAAAAAATCCAATTAGAAAAATAAAATAAAAAGCTGTAAAAATAAAGCAATTAAAAATTTAAAATAAATAAAAATAAAATTTAAAAAATAAAATAAAAAGCTTTAAAAATAGAAAAATTAAAAATAAAAACTAAGGAATAAAATTAGAAAAATAAAATAAGATGCTTTAAAAATAGAAAAATTAAAAATAAAAATTAAATAAAAAATCAAATTAGAAAAATAAAAAGCTGTAAAAATAAACCAATTAAAAATTTAAAATAAATAAAAAATAAAATTAAAAAAATAAAATAAAAAGCTTTAAAAATAGAAAAATTAAGAATAAAAAATAAAAAATAAAATTAGAAAAATAAAATAAAATGCTTTAAAATAGAAAAATTAAAAATAAAAATTAAATAAAAAATCAAATTAGAAAAAAAAGCTGTAAAAATAAAGCAATTGAAAATAAAAATTAAGTAAAAAATAAATTAAAAAAATGAAAAGCTTTAAAAATAGACAAATTAAAAATAAAAATTAAATAAAAAATAAAATTAGAAAAATTAAATAAAAAGCTTTAAAAATAAAAAAATTAAAAATAAAGATTAAACAAAAAATAAAATTAAAAAATAAAATAAAAAGCTTTAAAAATAGAAAAAAAAAATTTAGTAAAAAATCAAATTAGAAAAATAAAATAAAAAGCTGTAAAAATAAAAGAATTAAAAATTAAAATAAATAAAAATAAAATTAAAAAATAAAATAAAAAGCTTTAAAAATAGAAAAATTAAAAATAAAAAATAAAATTAGAAAAATAAAATAAAATGCTTTAAAAATAGAAAAATTAAAAATAAAAATTAAATAAAAATCAAATTAGAAAAATAAAATAAAAAGCTGTAAAAATAAAACAATTAAAAATTAAAAAAAAATAAAATATAAAATTGAAAAATAAAATAAAATGCTTTAAAAATAGAAAAATTAAAAATAAAAATTAAATAAAAAATCAAATTAGAAAAATCAAATAAAAAGCTTTAAAATAGAAAAAATGAAAATAAAATTTGAATAAAAAATAAAAAGCTTTAAAAATAGAAAAATTAAAAATAAAGATTAAATAAAAAATAAAATTAAAAAAATAAAAAGCTTTAGAAATAGAAAAATTAAAAATAAAGATTAAATAAAAAATAAAATTAAAAAACTAAAATTAATTAAAAATAAATGAAAAACAAAATAAAAACCATAAAAGTTCCATAAAGTGTAGTGCCGTAAAGCGCGACTGTCGTAAAAGGTGCCGTAAAGCGCGACTGTCGTAAAAGGTGCCGTAAAGCGCGACTGTCGTAAAATTGCCGTAAAGCGCGACTGTCGTAAAAGGTGCCGTAAAGCGCGACTGTCGTAAAACTGCCGTAAAGCGCGACTGTCGTAAAATTGCCGTAAAGCGCGACTGTCGTAAAACTGCCGTAAAGCGCGACTGTCGTAAAAGGTGCCGTAAAGCGCGACTGTCGTAAAAGCTGCCGTAAAGCGCGACTGTCGTAAAAGGTGCCGTAAAGCGCGACTGTCGTAAAAGGTGCCGTAAAGCGCGACTGCCGTAAAACTGCCGTAAAGCGCGACTGTCGTAAAAGGTGCCGTAAAGCGCGACTGTCGTAAAAGGTGCCGTAAAGCGCGACTGTCGTAAAATTGCCGTAAAGCGCGACTGTCGTAAAAGGTGCCGTAAAGCGCGACTGTCGTAAAACTGCCGTAAAGCGCGACTGTCGTAAAAGGTGCCGTAAAGCGCGACTGTCGTAAAAGGTGCCGTAAAGCGCGACCGTCGTAAAACTGCTGTAAAGCGGACTGTCGCAAAATGTGCATTTTTACGACGGTCGCGCTTTACGACACGACCTTTTATGGAACTTTTACGGTACTTTACAGCACTTTATGGATTTTATTTTGTTTTTTATTAATTTTTAATTTTTTTTTAATTTAATTTTTATCTTTTATTTTTAGTTTTAATTTTTCTATTTTTCAAACTTTTTATTTTATTTTTATCTTTTATTTTTAGTTTTAATTTTTCTATTTTTCAAGCTTTTTATTTTTTTATGTTAATTTTCTTTTTTATTTAATTTTTGTTTTAATTTTTCTATTTTTAAAGCATTTATTTTATTTTTTAAATTTTCTTTTTTATTGAATTTTTAGTTTTAATTTTTCTATTTTTAAAGCTTTTTATTTTTTTATGTTAATTTTCTTTTTTATTTAATTTTTGTTTTAATTTTTCTATTTTTAAAGCATTTATTTTATTTTTTAAATTTTCTTTTTTATTGAATTTTTAGTTCTAATTTTTCTATTTTTAAAGCTTTTTATTTTTTTATTTTTATCTTAATTTTTGTTTTGATTTTTTTATTTTTAAAGCATTTATTTTTTTATTTTCTATTTAATTTTTATTTTTGATTTATCTATTTTTAAAGCTTTTTATTTTATTTTTTAATTTTATTTTTTATTTAATTTTAGTTTTTAATTTTTCCATTTTTAAAGCATTTATTTTATTTTTTTAATTTTATTTTTTATTTAATTTTTAGTTTTCATTTTTCTATTTTTAAAGCTTTTTATTTTTTATTTTTATTTTTATCCTTATTTTTGTTTTGATTTTTTTATTTTTAAAGCATTTATTTTTTAATTTTCTATTTAATTTTTATTTTTGATTTATCTATTTTTAAAGCTTTTTATTTTATTTTTTAATTTTATTTTTTATTTAATTTTAATTTTTAATTTTTCCATTTTTAAAGAATTTATTTTATTTTTTTAATTTTATTTTTTATTTAATTTTTAGTTTTCATTTTTTACTTACAAAATATTTATTTTATTTTTTAATTTTATTTTTTATTTAATTTTAATTTTTATTTTTTCCATTTTTAAAGCATTTATTTAATTTTTTTATTTTTTATTTAATTTTTAGTTTTAATTTTTTACTTACAAAATATTTATTTTATTTTTTAATTTTATTTTTTATTTCATTTTTATTTTTGCTTTATCTATTTTTAAAGCATTTATTTTATTTATTTTTAATTTTTAGTTTTGATTTTTTTTGTTTTTAAAGCATTTATTTTATTTTTTTAATTTTATTTTTATCTTAAATTTTAGTTTTGATTTTTTTATTTTTAAAGCATTTATTTTATTACTTTTAATTTATTTTTTATTTTTGATTTTTCTATTTTTAAAGCTTTTTATTTTATTTTTTAATTTTATTTTTTATTTAATTTTTATTTTTAATTTTTTTATTTTTAAAGCATTTATTTTATTTTTTTAATTTTATTTTTTATTTTATTTTTAGTTTTAATTTTTTATTTTTAAACTATTTATTTTTATTTTTTATTTTTTTATTTCATTTTTATTTTTTGCTTTTTCTATTTTTAAAGCATTTATTTTTTAAATTTTATTTTTTATTTAATTTTTAGTTTTGATTCTTCTATTTTTAAAGCTTTTTTTTTAATTTTTACTTTTAATTTTTTTCTTTTTTTCTTTTTTCTTTTTTTTTCTTTTCTTTTTAATTTTTAAAGCTTTTTATTTTATTTTATTTTATTTGTCCAGACCAACTCAAGCTGGTGATTGTGGTGGTGTTTGAGGGTCTTGCAGTTACCCCGATTAATAGGTGGTAGAGATGATATTTGGAGGCCACAGTGTTACAGGTAGGGGTTAAACAGTTTTTTAGGGTCTTTCAGGTGATTTTTCAGGGATTTTTAGGGATTTTTTAGGGTTTTTTTTGCAGGAGTTTTTTAGGAATTCTCTGGAAATGTTTAGGATACCTTTAGGGCTTTTTCAGAGCTTTTAAAATAATTTTTTAATGACTGTCTTATCCGGGCGCCCCAGCCACCCAAGGCACCCCGTGCCGGCGCCGCGGCGCTCCAGCCCAGCCTCCCATCTCCACGGCCCCGCCGCCACCCCCCACTGCTTTCGCTGCAGCTTTGGTACAGCCCGGTCCCGGTTCCAAGCCGCTGCGTGCCGCTGTCCGGCCACAGCCGGCATCCCTGTGCCCTGTCACGCCACTTCTGCCACCACTGCGTCTATACACGGCAGCACAGCAGGGGAAAACTGCAGCACCTTGCATGTATCCTTCCACGTCTCTCCTTCTGCTGGCACCGAGAGATCCCTCCGCAGTGCAGCGCGTAACCGTGCACAACCGATACCTGATGTGCCTCCGTGTTTTCGCCTTCACACTCCTAGCACCCAGTGGGACTACTTTGTGTCACGATTCGTCTGCACAGCCACATCCATGCACACAAACCGTGCGACGAGGAGGAGGAGGGTGGAATATGAGAGCTGCTTTAATAAATGTAGGACAGACAGAATTATTTTGCCCCTGCAAATGCCAACCCTTTGATCCCAACGCAAAAGAATTTCGATAAATAACCGTTCCCAAATAGCTCCAGAGTCCCCCCAGTGTTTGGGACAGATTTCTCGACCCAAAATGAGACAGTAAATCCTCAAAATTCGCC